TCTTTTACCACTCACGTTTAGGGCTGGTTACATGATATACGATCAGATTAAGCCTCGCCCAAATATATGGAGAGCTAACATATCAGCCATTCAGGAGTGCGATGCTAAGACAGATTGGTCAGAAGGTACCAGCTCATCAGTTGAAGAAGCACGGTCTATATTTAAATGCAAGTTCAGATCAGTTACGTTCTCGTTTATACCATACCTTGAACCATGTAGAACGAACAACAGTCCTCCACGGGTAATTAAACAGATGAAAAAACTCCCTAGATGTAGTAAAAAGCACTGGAATATTTTTACCTCTACTGGCTTAGAACACTACAGATCCAGTTATTGTGCCATTAGGAATGCTTGTAAAGCGTTAATAAGTAAAACTAGATAGCCGTATGAAAAACAATTGGTAAGGGATTGTAAAAATAAACAAAAACGGTTGTTCTCGTATAAAAAAACGCGAACTCACGAGAAGTGGTGGAATTCCATCACATTTGGTACAAGAAAATTCGTTAATATTGGCAAGAGATGATGACGAATAAAGTGAAGCTTTATCGATTTATTTCAGTAAAGTGTTTTCTGTCAGCAATGAGAACGACAAACGATTAATCGTAATTGCAGCGGCTTGTAGATGGATACCGTAGTTACTGGGAAAACTACTGTCTTACGACTAACTCAGCATCTCAAGCCTCATAATTTCAGTGGGCCTAATGATATTCATCCCAGAATTATGAAGGCCCAATCATATGTAATTTCTGAACCTATAGACATACTGTTTGATATGTCACTGAGGCAGTCCAGGCTCCCAAGAGACTGGAACGATGCAGTAATTAGTCCAGTGCATAGAACAGGGAGTCGAAACTTAGTTGGTAACTCTCGGCCCGTCAGTCTAACCAGTGCAGTTGTAAAAATAAATGGAAAAAATTATTCGGACGTCTGTTATAGCATGGGTGGACGGATAGTCACTAGGAGTGAACATTAACAAGGTTGCGGTGATGCATTTAAATAACTATGACGATTCGTATCTCTACACAATATGGATTTGATTTACTGAAAGTAACGAGCTTAAAGAATTTGGAGTCATACTAAGCAGAGACCTCAAAACTACGAGTAACTGTAACGCTGCTGCTGAAAAATGCTATAGGGTATCATGTGCTATTCGTAAGTCGTTCCAGTATTTGGATGAAGGAATGTTTTGATTATCCCCGAACCACTCTGGGTGGTAAAGTAAAGTTCTCAACAGAAGTGTTCGATAATGAAATTCAGTTGACTGGTTTGTTATTCAGTAGGGCTGATAGATTAAACCGTAGGAGAGGCAGGGTTATCCTGTACACGAAAAGTACCTGAACCATAAGAGCTGTTGAAACAGTGGCACATGTTTCAGGGGCATGTGAACTGGTGTGTTGAAAGCTGAAATGTAGGCGGCAAGATATTGAATTAGTTTTAATATGCAGCAGTTGAGAATGTGTAATAGATGTCTTTCTTCTAGGCAAACTCAAGCCCTATTGTAATAAAGGTAAAAGCCTTCTAGTCGGCGACTCTGATGCACCGTGTATAAACTGGGTAAACTTAGAAGTAGGGTCATCGATAACGTCATTCAATTGCAAACTGTCAGAAACCTCAGTTGCAATAGCTTTTTCCCAACACATTAGAAATCCCACCAGATATGAATTAAGAGGGTCATCTTCTCTTCTGTAATTAGTCTTCACACACGGTGATGACGTTGATAAAATTAGTTTCCTCCCACCACTAGGAGGAATTAGCCATGCAGTAATATTATTGAAATTCATGGCTGAGATTGCTTGTCAAACAGTTGCGCTAGCCCGTCAGATATAGAGGCAATCAACTCCGTAGCATCGGCTGAAAACTAGGGAATTGACTAAACGGCATCAGTACAAGAAACATGGATGCATTTCAGACGGATATACAATCAGGTAATTCAATCATACTCTAAGATCCGTTTTCAATGTTTGGTGTGTGTGAAAATCCCTCCATGTATACATTTGCAGTTTATTCCTATTGATTCCCTTAGTTGTACATTGTTAGTCTTTTGATGACATTTGAATTCTTAATATTTGTATTTTCCATCATAGTTTTTGTTTTTCTTACGCCTTCACTAAGTTCTGTGTTTCTTCCTGAACTGCATCTGCGTTGTTTTACTTGACACTTGTTCTTGGCGGTAGCCATATTGATTTGTTCCTCCTGTTGTGTGTGTTCTATCCAGTCAGGATAGAATAGCGTTCATTTGTTGTGGCTGGTAATTTTCCCGCATCTTTTATCAACTTCTTTATTTATTGTAATTTCGATTTGATTGATTGAACAATTATTGGTTGAAAAGCCGGGTGGTAATATTTGTTTAGGTAACGATTTACATTTAAATTTATGATGAATTATAGAACCGCTATTTATCCGATTACTTGTTTTGATTTTGACGGGCAAGGGTGCGTGTCTAACTACCTGGATGGCTATTCTTCAGTCCAAACTGTAGTTTGGATTCTACACATGCATACCCTGGATAGGCCGGGTTATTAGACGTTTACTAAAGCAAAAAAATCTTGGAATGTTGCTATCCGCCTTGGCATAGCAGGTACAATGAAACCCTACGGGTCAGTAAAAGACACGTGTATAATTAAAATTCGGGAAGCTCAGAGAAAATATGAAATGCAGTCGGTACAATTTGCACTCAAAAAGCCTAAGAGATTATTTTCGTACATAGATTACAGAACAGGTATGCACCACTGCGCTCCCAACCTAAATAAAGAAGAGAATGAAAGATGAAATGATAAAGGAAGATCAGTAAAAAGCAGAGGCTATGGAGAACTATTTCGAAGCAGTTTTCACTCAGGAACCGCTTCTAGTCAAATAATCAAACCCAAATACAAGGTCAACAAACCGCCTGCTCACCGTGGACTTCGATCAAGACGATGTACTTAGGGCTCTTAGCATCTTAGACATGGAAAAATCAACAGGACGCATCTCCACTGACTGTGATGTTCAATATGTCACTTGATTAAGGTGTGTCACCTATGGACTGGAAGGACACAATCGTCACTCTTATGTATAAAACAGGACCAAGACAACATCTATTGAGGTACAGACCTGTAGGCCTCACCAATGTATTTAAAATAATGAAAGTAAGAGTCAAACGGACAATAATGACATTTGTGGAAACTAATAACCTGGTGAACGATGAACAACATGGTTTTAGAAAGGGTTTGTCTTGCATGACGATCCGCCTTATAGTAAGGAAATATTGGATAAAGGCGCTAGACAACGGAAACTCAGTAGATGTTGTCTATACAGACTACAGTAAGGCCTTCGACAAGGTGCCAACTAACAGATTGCCATTGAAGTTAGAAAATCTTGGTATGACCGGACCTCTTTTAAAATCGCTTAAGGATTCCGTAGTAGGTCGTGGACAGAAAGTAAGAATAAATTCCAATTGCTCCATTAGGAGACCGGTACTTAGTAGAGTACCTCTAGGTTCCGTCCTAGTTCCTTTACCTTTTATGCTGTATGTAAATGATCTCCCAAGTATAGTACTTCAAGCAGACATAAATAATATGATTAACTGGTTTAAAGAGTGACTGATGCATATCAACGCAGCAAAGTGTGTCTATATGCACTTTGGGGATACAAAGGTCAATAGGTACAACATAGAGGAAGTGCCAGTACCAGTGGTCCGGTCTCACGAGGATCTAGGGGTGACATTGAGTCGTGATCTTAAGACGACGGCCCATTGCCGGGAGGTCGCAGCTGAGTGGTTTAGAACCCTCTGGACTTTAAAACGGACCCTCACTAAGTTAGATTCCTCCATGTTCACCACAGTATACACAACCTTAGTGAGAACTAAGCTAGAGAACTGCGTTCAGACTAAAAGCTCCTGTCTAAAAGGTGACTCGGATATCCTAGAAAAAGTACAGAGGGCAGCTAACCGTGCAATTCCAGAACTCCGGGGTTTACCATACAAGATGCTTGGGAAGCTGGACCTCTTTACTCTGTCCTATCACAGACCAAGGGGAGATCTAATTTTGGTGTATAGAATACTAAGAAATGAGTTTGGACCTAACACATTCTCTATTTTTCTTCCCACTAGATTTCGACATCTCAGATAACGTAGAAGGCAAGTTGGAAAGCCAAGAACGAACAAAATACCCGTGGCATACAGGTTTTCACACCGAGTCATTATTAATTGGAACCTGTTACCCGAAGCAGTGGTGTCCACACCCTCAATTGACTCTTTCAAGAGAAGACTGGACACTCACAGAAGCATACTAGAAAAGGAATAACATAGGTTTTAGGCCTTCTGTCCTTACTACACAAATCTGAACCTGACATTCGTGTGACCATATTTGAAATATAGGATTCAAGCAGAGAGTTCTTCTTTCAAGCATGTAACGAACATACCGGAACGATGCCAACGACAAAGGACTAAAACGGTTAAAGGTCTGTCTGGCTTATCTCATGAGGACAGACTGAGACACCTCAATTTACTTCTGTTATCTTAGAACAACACATATAAGCGAACAATTGTTTTCAATTAGATCGCTTATATGTGTTGTTCTAATTTTCACAATGGGAATCCTTAATATTCTGTTATCTTGTCGTAGAATACGTGGTGATCTAATGTTGGCTTATCGCATACTGGCCCATGACCTTGATATGAATGTCTTATCTCTTCCTTCCGTCTAGGACTGATCATTTGATAGGACATTCGAAAGAAGTTCAAAAACCGAGATCAAATCATCTACATCTGGAGTTTCGTTTCTCTCACCGAGTAGTGAATTACTGAAAGTCCTACCAGAACATGTAATATCAGCACCTTATGTTGATATATTCAAAACGAGATTGGACTTTCACAGTGTTAAAAGCTGCAAGGATTAGTGTTGGTCGATAGACCTCTTATCTTTGTTACTGAGGTCTGATTAGTGGAGGGTATTCGTCGTATACGCTACAAGGGCGGGTTCGATTTGCAAGGTTTCCAGTACGAAAATGGTCACTTCGTAGCTATGAAAGTTACCTGCCATAATGCGTCTAGAGGTAATTCACTATAGATTCAGATTCAATATTATCTTAGCTTGCAAATGCTCATTCATAGCTTCCTTTTGCACTCAACACAGTTTATTTGAAACAGTAATAGTTCTGCATTAAAAGATTCATAGATTCCTTAGCCAATTACAATGCTTTTTATAAATGCTGTATAATCGCTCAGCAGCTACGATTCTTATTACCTGCGAGTTCTATGCTGTTGAATAGCTAGTATGGCTACAAGCAATTTGGTTGACTACAAACTACCTCAGTTAAAAGTACGTGAGACCACAATTAGGTTGTTCGCTCATCTAACTACAAAACACTTCCTACCGATTGTACATAACTATTGGTCAAGGCATGTTAGTTTACCATCTTTTTACCAAACCCCACTTACCCACATGCGTTCCGTATAGGATCGCGTTAAATATTATTAGTTCTTTGCATTGTGAAGTATTTTGGCTTGGTTCGGAACCATAACTTTCAGAAATTTATGAGGTAAAACAGTTTAGGACTTTGTGAATCAATTGCTGGAGATATTTTCCTAAGTTCCTGAATTTTTTGATCATCAATTATGAATGGAATTCTCATACCACATGACTTAAACTTGCCTTTTGATCGGTTTCTTATGAGTTCCTTCAGGTGTTTCGTTCCATAGTTTGTAAATTTAAAAATTCATTTCGGTCATGACAGTTAATATACTTAAAATACAAACTATAGATTGAAGAACGATACCTAGTTTGATTTTGTTAGGTTTGACATGTATTTGCATAAACTATAATTATCGTTTGTTTACATTACTTGAAGTTTATTTATACTTCAATTCTGTCTATGGTGCTCAAAAGCCCAATATTTTACTATTAATATAACAGGACACCATCCTTGTAGTATTGGTCATAATGTAGCGTCGAAGATCTTAATCGCCTGTGAACTCTGAACTCCGCCACTTTAGAATATATTAGTCTCTATTTTCAGGTAAATATGTCGGCACCTATATGTATAGAGCAAAATGAACATAAGTCTACAATAAGTTTGTCCTTTTTACTTGTTTGGATTTTTCTGGTGAGCCGGATGTGTTATAAGTTTTCAAATTGGACATTATTTATAACGAAACAAATGTTTACTTATGTATAAAGAATTATCAAGTTAAATTGACAGATTTAACATTTGGTGGTTCGACATTGGACCCAGCTTTCGCGCTAGTTGAGACTCATCAGTCTGATCTATAGGATTTGATCGCCGCTAAAGATTAGATAAACGTTACTTATAGACCAGTCAGCTATAATTTACGCTTGTTAAAATCCGTAACGTGTGATCATGACTACTATGATAATGTCTGTATCTCAGAAGTAACTATGAAAACCTTTACGGGGGTTACCAAGTCTCATTAGCAATATATGTGACTGCTCTTTTTTGTTATATGCTAAAGGATAACAACCAAGTTGTTTACTGAAGTAAAGTATGTTGGATCAAGATCTCTTTTCTTTATTCCTAGATACACACGTTTTAACACGCACTAACAAGAAATACGGGCCAAGTACTTGCCGAATAAGACATAGACGACGTAACTGGAGCTCACACACTTCTCGTTTGTCACCATGTATAGAGGAACCATCTAAAGTTGATTGCATGGTAACCAGTTCGCTCAATGGTTCTCCTGAGCGCTTATCATCGAATCCTCCTTCATTGGAAAGTAGTAGTTCGTGCAGTTTAGCCTCTTGTTATGGGGTATCAGCTCAGTTTATCCGCCCCTCCATGCCTCCTGGTCCACCAACGTCACCTGTTCCGAGCCCGCCACCTACTCCTGTAACACTTGGCGCTGTTGTGGAAGCTCCAACAAATCCTGTTTCTGAGCCTCGACAGCTTGACTCTATTCCTAACCTTCCAGCCGTACTCCGTAATCGTTTTAGACGACGTCGAAATGCTATTTGTGAATCCTCTGCTCTTGGACAGGGATTAAAAGACTTCTTTGCTTCTTATGTGGTTTCTAATTTAACTGACTCCATGACATCATCACTAAGTTTGGGATCATCTTCTGCATGTCCCGTGTTCAAATCTTCATTACAACCGCATCTTCCTAACACAGTTTCACGTTTGGCCCACAGCGACTGTGTCACATCACCTGTGTGTTTGATCGATAGCGAGTCACAATCTGAAAGTCTGTGATACAAATTTATCCTACCAGTTTTCAATTATCATCAGACGGTATTTAGTTCACTTTTTGTAGTTTCTTAAAGTGATTTTTTTCAATTTAATATTTCACATTATTAGATAATTTTAACACGACCATTGGCATTTGTTTACCCTTAAGTATGTATGCATACTTTACCTGTATACGAGTCTTTCTGTACTCATTGCTCATCCTATGTAATTTTTTTCTTAAACATGCCTATAATTTCCACCTGCTACCAGCTAATAGCTGTGATTTATTAAAAATATTTCAAAAGTATTTTGTTTTTATATAGATTGTGTTATAATGCTCGGTTTTACTTCGTCCAATGTTATAAAGGTTGGATCTCCACGTTTGCACGTATGAGACGTTAATTTACCTTAGACGAATATCTACACTAGAGCCCTCCCAGTATCCATTCTACAGGACTTTAACATAACTCAGATCAAAAACACGTGATCAACCTGACCACAACGTAAATATATTTCCACACCAAAACCCGACACAATCCAACAAGAATGAGCAATCAGTAATAAGTGAGTAATAATAATAAGGATAAGGGAATATATAACTCATCTGACACCTGTCAGACTATCTACATGTCTGACTAAACAGACAACCAGTCATTATCATTTTCGCCCACACATCAGATTGTTATGAAATATTTTCATATCTTTGCTGCCTAAGTTGGCGTTTCGTTAAAAAACTAATATCCCACCAGAATAGTTATCAGTAATCCCTTTACGTCCGAAAATTGAGTACAAAATTCTTCTGGTTGTGGTTTTGGGTAGGAGTTTCAAGATGAGTTTTTCAATCATCGACCTGCAACGTTTCACCAAACTTTACTCAAGACGAGGCCATTTCGTATATTTATGTTTCCCTGAATCTTATCTTCGATGCCTTATGTTTTCTATTACCGATGGTACTGTTATTACCCCTACTATTCTGGGATTAAGCCTGGAATTTTTATCTCTGCTGTGTTATGGGGACTTGAACAGATGTACATATGTACCAGGTTCTACTTTGTGACTGCAATATCGCCACTATCTGTTGGGATTTAATGTGAATGTAATTGAAACTGTAATGTATGTATTCAAATTTCTCCTAATTACAATTATGGAAATGCAAGAAAATAAAATAATGATAAATTTAAAGTATATCTGCTCTTTAGTAAGGCAGAAATTGAATGCGACTCCACTTCCATGTATATATCTCATCTAGGAGATCACTTCCTATTGTTTCTGCTTTTCAAGGCACCGCTCTAATTACTGAAATTGTTCCATGATGCGGATTTGTAGTTATCAACATCTGTCCTATATCATCGAATATATTTCGACACAGAATTATTGTAGCAGATATCTCTTGCCATATTTGATCACTTCTAGGTAATCCTAAAACTAAAGTTATACATCAAAAACTATCCAGAATAAATTCCGGTCTAGGTGATGAGTAGTGGTGCATTCAAGGATCACTGTTTACTATATACGGAAAGGTTGCTGTTTCAAAGACGTGTCTGTATATATATATATATATATATATATATATATATATTACATTGGTCTCGAGTGCTGTTAGAGGTATGAGGGCGGTTATCACTTCCCGGTTGCCCACACCGAGGAAGGGTTCTTCTGGAGGTACCTGAAAAGGAAATTGGATTAGAGGTGGTCTCAGTGACCTGAGAGCGTGACTGCAGTGCCCAAGGGACAACTGCTTGAGGCCGGTCGCGCACGGCCTTTTCGTGGGAGGTTTTTGACGTGTTAGCTCCGTTCTTCAAAGGGCCTTACCGCCGGAGACGGAAATCCGTGAGGTAAGGTGAGGTGTGCATTTTTAGGGTCGACCTTTTCTAACCCCACCCCTCCTTGTGGGAAGGCAGCATCGCTGTCATGCTGGTTGTCTGAAGGAAACACCTTACTGCTGTCACACCTCTGTACAGTCAGCAGTACGACTTCGCCTTCGGACCTTGGGTTTGTTGCTTTTAGTCTTACCGCTCTTCAACCGACCTGTCTGACATGGTAGGACCTTGAGGAACGGTTGTTCCAGCCAATATAGCTCGGTTGCTTCATCACGATAGGCAAGCCCGACCACCACGTCAAGGTAGCAACAACGGACGGGATATATATATATATATATATATATATATAGAACTGACCAGTTACCTGACAAACAGCAGTAATTTTCCACTGATTTTATTGAACGGTCATATTAAACTCACTAAGCAGTAGTCTGCAGATGTAGCTCCAAACCATTTTTTAAACTTTAAGGGCCAGTAATCCCACATGGTTGTTCGGATTAAAGTAGGTAGGGCGGAGACAGAACCTGAGATGACTGCAAAGTAATACACTCCAATTAGGCGATTGGGATCCAGTCAGTAACTACGCTGTCTGTCTTGTTACACTTTTAGCTACATCCACACAAGGTCACCTAATCCTCGGATACTTATAGAGTGAACTGCACTGGTTGGATGGAATTAAATAAACGAGCACTTCTGTCCATTCGTCTCACAAACGACATGGCTCGTGGTGGAAAAATTTTAATCGGGGGTTGACTGGCTGACTTAGAGTAGCATGCGTGCGTCAATTACGACACGCAGTCGGTATACTGGCTTCAGAAGGTGCGGTCACAGACTTGTAAGAAATTAAAGTATTTTTGTCGGAGGTGGAGAAGGAAAACTAGGGTCGTAAAGGGGTGGCAATGTTTGATCCTGTTGGTTGGACAATTGGACAAGAAGAGGGTTTTGTCCATGCAATCACTGGAAAATCTGTCTGCAAGCGGCTAACCAATCTAGGTCAGTAGTAGGCAACATATCTTAATGCAACTGCGGTGAACTTTTGTTCGTTTCTCAAAGGGTCTTACCATCAGTCACGGGAAGAGGCTGAATGAGCAGAGGTTCAGCTTTTCTCGTCCCTTTTTTCATACCACCAAAACAACATAGTCGTGGACTTTTCACCTTTGAAAAATCCAGCAACGTTTACTGATGGTGTAGGAATTTAAGTTGGGAATTTTTAGGCTAAAATAAATAGACTGAATAGCTAACTTTGATGACGAGACCACCTCAGCAACTAATTACATAATCTCTGGCTAATCATACACTAAATTTCTCATCCAAAATATTCAGTTTGTGCCAAATAGCCATTTCCTACCTGCATTTTTTTCACACCAGTAAAAAAACATGGAACTTATTTGAAGTATTTACTTAAAATGATGACTTGCTCCAACGTTATTTGTCAAATCCTGGAAATGTTTAGATTTTATTGGTTAGTGATGGATTTCGACTACTTTGTCAAATCATTATATGTTCCAGAAATTAAGTCTCTCTGTATATATCCAATATGGAAAAAGTTAACATATTTTGTGAGATACCAATTCAAAAAAATATACATTAGGTGACAGTGAAACTGTACTACACCTGCATGAAAAGCATCTTGACAAATTAAGTTGGGGATTTGCCACATGATAAGACCATTAACTCATAACCCACACTGAGTTTTTAATGTTAAGCGGACGGTCAATATTTGTCTTTTGCTTCCTACTTGTCTTCTTGACTAGTAGTTAATTATCTAATAAGCAACGCAGTTACACCATTATGGACATAATATCTTTAATCCATTAATATGTCCAATCACTCGGCTAGTGGTTCTGTTGTGTGATATTCATTTGACCCGAGGTCCGGGTTTCAATTTCACGATAAAACTGGGCGTAGCCCCTACTTTGACGTACGGTTGGAGCTTTCCTATCATGATGACCTGACTGAGCTATATTGGCTGAAACTCTCGTTACATTAAGCCCTACCACACCACCCGGGTTGGAGATCGTTAAGATTAAAAGCTGCAAACTTCAAGTCAGAGGGCGAAGTTGTACTGTCAACTTTACAGGGGTATGAGAATAAGGAGTTTCCCTCATAAAATGAACGTCTCCCCACTACGACAGAGGGAAGCTAAGAGAGGTCGACCTAAAAAATAACACACCCCACAGTTATTCACGATCACTCTCAACTTAGTTTCATTTTCAAGTCTCTCGAGTACTCTTCCACAGTATGATAAAACAGCAAGTGACAAACGTCTTTATATCCGATAGAGATTCATACTTCGAATCAATTACTGTCTGCCTTTAAAATTTAGTATTTCTTAATTGTATTATACAATTTAGCTGAAGAGCTGATGACTAAATATTCGTATACGCTTCAATACACGTCTATGACATATCATAAAATCATGGTTCAAATAAATACTTTGCTGAGAACAAAACTTGTTATTGTATATCTTTTATATATTTGCTAGAATGACAATAATATTATTATCAATCTCTTTATACTTTTAAAGAAACCTTAAAATGTAGTAAAACAGATATTCTGGCGCACAAAAAGAATAAAGGAGTGGGAAAGAAACGTTCAAGGGATATTAATTACACTTTCGAATATATTTTGTCCATTACGTATTTTACAGATAAGTAAATTTGTGTGCATACGAAGAGAAAGAGGGAGTATCAGGCTACACGTTTTAACCGTAACCGGGGACAAAAAGCAACGACGAATAATACCGACATACACACAAAAATAACAGAAAGATGGCAAACAAAAGCTAACAAAATAAAGGTTATCAGTATGGATGAATGTGTTGTTTTGTTAATATGGTGGAAAGAAAGCAAATCGAGAAAATAAACAAATAACAGCAGCGTTAGTCATGATCAAGAAGTATTTTGCTTCTCTGTTGTGTTAATAGGTTGATTGATAGGAGCGAAATAATAAAAAAGAATGGCTTTAAAATGGACAGAAATCTGCTTATCTTTTTTCTATTTTGAAGTGTTTTATTGTAGGAAGAATGTAAACTGGAGGAAGCGGATAAAAATGAAATCCTAAATTCGAAAAAGAGGCATGACATCTAAATAGTAGAAAAATAGCACCTGGGTACATAAACAGATGTGAATAAATGAAATATCAATCGAACGTGTAATTGTTATGATTCATAATGGTTCAATAGAAGAGGATACGGCTTTATATTGGAACAAAAATTATCTATCCTATGCAAATGTGTGTTATATTATTCAATTATTCCATCTAGAGAAAAACGTAATAGGAAAAAATACCGTCAATAACAACTTCACAAAGAATGCAAGTGAGATGGCTATTATATTCATATTACATTTTATTGAATAACACAAATGTGCTCATGAGTACATTTTTACTTGGATTCACTTATTCTCAATATCTGCATCAATTCAGCATATGACGTTAGAAATGGCGAGCTACATTACACATTTATTGCTTAGAAGACTTAATCCTGCCCCCCGCCTCTATTTAACCAGTAAATAATTTTATTTGAATACAGTAAGTTAAACTCATGTAACTTGCTTACCCGTAATCATACTGCTTCATAAGATGTGCTTGTTTTCAAATATTCTGCATAAATACTTACCTGACGACAGATTTCGTGAAGCAGTTCAGAAAGTTTACCGTTTCTCGTAAAACAAATGTTTTAAAACACAGCGATCATTCATGACTAAATTTTATTTATTGAAAAGAAATAAACTACTGATAACTTTTTATTTTTTCTAGTACGTATTTTGCTTGAAGGATTTCACTGAGTAGTTGTCAAAGGACCGTTCTATGTTGTATTTTAGTGTATGATGAACATGATAGTTTTGGTCAGTAGTTTTGTTGTAAATGCTGAAGTGATAACTTCGTCAGTTCGTTGATTTGACATGAAATCTAATGATTTTAGACTGGTAACTATCGTTAATGTAAGAACTTCCAAACTGACAAGATTCTGTTAGCCTTCTTAGAATTTTCTCACATATATCCACACATGTCCAAAGTTTTTTTTCATTAAAGTCCTAGTTAATACCTTCATATGACAATTGAAATTAAGCAAATATCTGGAAATATGAACTGAATTAATGCTAAGTAGTTTTAGTTAGGTGAATGGTGTTGATGGTCATATATTAAAAACCATTACACTTTATCACAATCCAAATTAACTTTGGCATTATCGTACCTGTCTATTAATAAAATATTGGTTTTAAATTACTATGATCCAAATAGATTTGTACATTTTGCAGGAATGACAATATTCAACAGTTCTACTTCATATTTTGTTATCACTGAATGATTTATTGTACTTGCTATACATACTATAAGTAATCTTGAGGTTTCCCAATGTATTTAAATAAATTGGAGATCTTTGTTCAATCAGTCATAAGATATTGTAACATCGTCTTTAACATCTTGAACACGTTTTAGGCACACTGTTTCAACATCATACCTAGAACTGCTTTCTAAAAGTCCAACTGAGTGGAACAAACAGAAAAGCATTTAAATTAAAACCATCATAGAAATGTTATATTTACTGAGGTTTAGTTTCAGTCACTTCAACACAACTCCTTAATAAGGTCCAAGAAATGACTAGTAATCCTGTTGTAACTTACTTTTATGTTCTTTAGAAATACTGTGAGAAATATCTAAGAGGTATGCAATTTATCATAAATGTATTTTAGATAAATTCTACTCTTGTTTTTGTTGCTATAATCATTATTATTTAATTCTTCCACACATGTTTTTCCATTTTTTGTATCCTGCTCGATTGAAACCAGCATTTCAGAGTTAGGAATGAATGCATTCTACACTATGATCATTTATCCTATGTTAGATACATATTCAACCTATCTATGTGCATTAAGCATAATTCTTCAAATAAAAACTATTGACAACTTGTCTTAAAACTAGATTAATAAGTCAAGAAAAAAAAGGGCACATGTTTAAAGATCGATTATTTCAAACAACCTCTCATAAAATAATAACACTACAATTAATCAACTTGAAGTAAAACACAAGAGAGACAAGAACAACATACCATAAGATTCATTAAAAGCTTCTTCAAATGACACAGAACTTCATGAATAATAATTATTATGAATTAAATATTGCGTCAGCAGATGCTTTGTACACAATAAATAGTTTGGTTGATAATTCTATCCATCGCTTTCATCAGTTTGTCCAATTTTTTTTGCCTATCAATTTTTATCACTCTCATTATCACTAACAGCATCGAAATTTTTTATCTTGTTAGAATTCTCCACTTTATTTTGTGAATTCTCTTCAATTTGAAATGTTTCCATACTTGACTTCTTCTCATTGTCGACCAATGAATTTTGATTATAAGGAAGATTGGATAGACTACTAGCCATCATCATCATATTATTATCACTGTCATATGTTGTATTGACTTGTAAATCACTTGGTAATGAGAATGTTGATAAATCTGAAGAATTATAATACAAATTTTGGATTATTGGTGAACTGCTTAAACTTTCATAACCTGATGGATAAAGATTCGTTATTGTTACTGCTGAAGTTGGAGCAGTGAACTCATCACTAATGACAACAGGATGACATTTCATTTTTGACTTTTTTTTACCATGTCTCCGTTTAACACTCTTATGTGTCAATAAATTAACGTTTGATGATACATTTTCATTTGGATAAATAATGTTTGTATTGTTATTCTTTGTTTTATTTTCTTTAGAATTTTTGTTCATTTTAATCAATGAATTGTCTAACAATTCATGTTTTGGTGAAAAATTATCCATAGCTGATGATGGTGAAGTATCTTGACTGGGGAAATCAGCTTCGGTTAATACCGAATGAACTGGAATATTACCAGTATCAGGCAGTCGAAATAATCCTGGACCGCTGCCTCCACTAATATTAGTTGAACCCGGTGAGACGGTAGTAGATTTAACACTGAACTGCCATACACCACGATTACTGTTAACACTTGACAATTGTGGTAGATTGGTAGAACTTTTATCTGCATTCCAGTTAGTTTCCTCATCCTGAAATATAACAACAACAAGAAATACGGAATAACTTGAGGTTTAACCCCCCCCCCAAATAAACAACTAATCGAAATGTGAAAATTAACCGGTTGTTTCTGTGTCCTACTTTCAATAAGACTAAACCACATTTAAGACATAAGTATACACAATTTCTACTATTCTCTCGTTAAAATTATTATTCCATTAAATAGATCAATATGAAAAGAAAGAAACAAAAACGAGAACTCTACCTTATTTACTAATCGACTTATTTTAAACTGCTGTTACTTTAAAATAATGTACAATGAAGCTAACAATTGGCAGAAAAAATAAGACATTAAACGCCAAAGGAAGAAAATATACAATGAAATAAATAACTGCAAAGTGTGTACCATATTCAATGATTCGGTACTTTGTATTCAACTTTAGAAAAGCAACTATTCCAATGAACTGATGTTAAGAAAAAGTTGAGTCATCACATGTAAATTTTTCTTATATATATGCACTCGTCAGTAAAATATACCTGTACTACTAAGGGAACTGATCTCTGGCGGATTCAATTCTGTGTCACCAAGCTTTACAGTCATAGACGCTACTATTGAGGTATTCGGGCTGAGACTGACCTCTTGTAGGAATGAGATGTACTTTGTTTGATTGATGACTGAGTAGTGATTAGTGTCATGTATCTCAACTTGATCGACAAGATTCTATCAGGACTAAGAACGACTTGATATTGGAGTGTTTTTAGCATAAAAAAGCACTGAATCACCAATTCAAATATACAGTTTTTTGGGCACAAACATAGGGACCATATACCTGGTCAATTACAAACAGCTGGAGAGTTTTAAACGTGAACGTTATGCTTAACAATAGATCTCCATATTCACAACTGCTGAAATTTTCTTTTTTAAGCAGAATTACAAGTCTCTTGTTACGTGTATAACTTTCGTTAATGGTGTTATTGTGTATCAGATATGAGGATTATTGGAATTCCCACCCCCAGCCCTCACAAGAAATAGCACAATTGAAGAGCTTTAGAATAAAGAGAAATGATGGTTAGATGTCCTTAAAAAATTAATTAAAAAGCTTTAGCAGTGCAGAGAGCCACCTTTCCTCTCAAAGCTGCAACAATACCGTTCATTAACAATGAATTTACTGTTTATTTCTTGATTATCTTGAGACATAGTTCCTCTAAATGTCCGAAGAAACCCTGACTAGTGAAGTCAACTAGTTCGATAATAATGGTGGACATTACTAACGGTAAAAGGTGTTCACAGTACAGTATGAAGAGTTTCGAGTTGTAAAACCTCATACAATTGATTTCAAAACGTCGGTTCAAATATTCCCCACCAACCATAGAATTCACAGGTACACGGTCCTATTTGAGTAACAATGGAAAACTTAAGATAAACTGTTATATCCTAGTGAAGATTAAACTATAGATAACTTCCGAGACCTATTAATGGACTAATATTATGTATATATTCTTATTGTATGACTATTCAGTAACTAGATTATGTATATCTATATTAATCTTATTATAAGCTTCATTTTGACCTAAAGATTATCATTGTACGATTTACCGTTCTTAAATTATATTCAATTTATTGATTACAGTCTCCCACGTTCACAGCCACTTTTTGGCTTGATCTTGTATAACTGCTATTTCCTATTTTATGGTGTGATATGGTCTGTTTGGTTGGTATATAAACCAAGTATGTTTGAAATAAATGACTGTCATAGTGGAAACTGGTGTTGGTGTTCTGGACTGAATTGTGAGGGCTAGGAGGAAAAAGGACCAATAAGGACTCTAGGCTGCTCATACCTATCGAACGTCATTGGTTTGGCACAGTACTAAGATTGAATAAGTCGTATTTTGATTGGCAAACAAATCACGCGACGATTAGTCAGGCTTAAAATTACAATATAAAGCAACTAGAAACATCTAAGTGCTTCACACAAATATAGTAGACAATTAGACAGTTTCATACACATAGTTCCCTTTATCATTTCGAAAAGATCAAGACAGTTCAACCCAACAGTAAATTAAATCGTAACAGGAAACAAAAGCATTACTCAAAGGTTAATTTATGTACAGTGTATTTATAGTTACGCAAGACCTTAGGCTTCTAGAAATTCCTGGAGCTATAGCAAATAGTAGCAGTGCAGGTCAACATCCAGCCAAAACTGTTACATAATTCTTTTTTTGAGTGTTTCTGAGATGATTCTATTCAATACTAATTGGTTATAACGTCTTCTAGTGCTTCTGGGGCTTTAAGGACGTTGACGAGGAATATTTTGGGGACTCTTCTAACAAATATCTAATTAAAAATCGATTAGTGACTGATATCCTGAAAACCTTGTGTAATATATATATATATATATATATATATATATATATATATATATATATATATATATATATATATACGTCAGCTGCAACTAATGCTGAAAATCTTTCTTCCCAGTTTTAATTCAAATACAACATATATAAATAAATGAAGTTTAATAACAATCAAGAAAACAATAAAATACCTACTTGTATAGCTTCAGCAATCGACTGAGCCAAATCATCTGTACCGCGACCAACTAAACTAGATAAAGAACTACCCAAACTTGAGTCTTGATAACTCCCTTTTTCAAAGTAGGAATAGAAAACAACAGATAGTATGGTAAAGATGCATTATGACTGATAATTAATTATTAAAAAGCCAACCAACTTTCAGTTACATAGCAGTCTTAGTACTGAAATAGATATAAAGTACAATTAATAAACACCCTTTTCATCCCCAAAAGATAATAACGATTAGGATATGCTGATATCACGAAGCGACATAAGTTAGATATCCACTGAACGGGTCGGCATTGAGGCAGGTTTCCACTGAAGACCATGAAAGAAGGTCAAATAATATCGCTAACTGATTGAAGTTAGATACAGACAACACTAGATTTTGGTTCAATGGTCTAAAAGTTGAGCACTTGAGCGCGAGATCGCAAGTTATGTACCTGATTCCCGGCGCTGTTGTGAATGCCCACTGCCGGAGAGTCGCATACTACGACGAAACGGCTGTCCAGTCCTTTATAGTTTCTAATGATTGTCAAAATTAGGTTTGTTCGTGATATCAATAACAGTCAGTAGTCCGCATAAACCTCCTCCATACTGATTACCACCAAATTACCAATTACGGATATGACTTCAATATATACTACTACCATACGACCATCAAAACAAGTTGTTCAAGTGAAATTTATTTAATTATTTCAGATCTTTTTTATATATAAAAAACTAGTAGATTGGCAAAAAAAAGTATAAATCTGTTGCTTTCCAATCAATTTCTTTGAAGTGAACAACAAATAACTTTCTAATTAGACAATACTACTCAAAGTAACAACAAATTGACCGAAAAATAGATTTTATAACAGAATCAACAAAAACAAATTCATATCATAAACTAAATGAAATATAAGCAAAGATGGATGGTGGCTAGCAATGGAATTCAGGACGCCGATAAGAGACTGATCAATTGCAATCTTAAACATCAATGGGAAGATTCAAACAAACAATACAACATGAATTGAATAAAATATAGAAAGAAAAAAACATTCAGACTAAACATTAGAACTTTCTAGCACCAATAGTATACTCCCAGAGCTGAAAAATTGTTTTTAATGAAAGCGATTAATGTTAATTTTAAAAGTTACTCGGAGTACGAAGGAAAGAACTATAAACATATTTACTAAGAATGGAAAATCATTTCAAACTTTATTGTTACATAATTTGGATGTTACACATTATAGGAAAAAAGTAAACAGTACAAAATATTGATCTATTTATTATTTAACAATACATAATTCATTATGTATATTTACTGAAAATATTAAAAATTGCAGTTAACAACTTATAAATAATGAGACCAAAAACATTAAAGAAATTAGATAATGTCTTTCAAATGAATTAATTGTATCTATCCAATAATTTAATTATGAATAGATTTGCATTTAAGCCTATTCACTTTGTTTTAAATAAACAGCTGATATCTATCATTTTCATATAATATGTAATCCAAAGTTTAATACACTTAACTGTACTCAACTAGTGAAGTGAATTCACCTTACCTTATTAATATGAAAATTATTATTACTTACAAAATCTGAATAGTAAAATTGAGATACCAAAAGAAAGTAACATACATGGGCTATAAAGTTAACGGCAACAATTGTAACGATTACTTCAAAAACAGTACAATAAGAACAGACATATATAGCATAATACAAAGATAGATTCTAGCTGGTATAACTTCGCTATGGAAATTCTCTAAACAAACAAGTGGAAACCAAAGCAACTTACATAAACCGATAGCGATCGTTCAGTGACTGATTCTAAGAAGTGGAATCAAAAATAGCTTAGCTATTAAAAAAAAGCAAATAATTCAACTGAAATCTACAAAATGTCTGGGTCATTACTCTATTAATAACTGGAAAATCTAAGCTTTAAAAACCTGAATATGATGAAAGGTATAAAATCTATGCTTAAAGTCGAGTCATTTATGAGAAATTCAATCTACATCAATGAATTACAATCGGGAGGTAAAAATAACAGCTTCCAAATGAGTGAAGTTGGACATGTGAACATAATGAATGAGTTCTAGATGATAGGTGGATGGAGTAAATTTAACACTATTAGCAGGTTATTACGGAATGTTAACTACTTTTCAGTATCTACTAGCAATCACTCAGCAAAAATTAATCTGAATATATTTGTTACCACTTATCATCGATATAACGCATGTTTATAATTGAGTCAAAAAGGATTTGTTAATAAAGACTCTGAATGTGATGCTAAATTAAAGAATGTTGGAATATCAGAGTAAAAGGATTTTCGTCAAAAGTCCAATAACCTTGATTCTATGTTAGTCACCTGCAAACATCTTATATCAAAATGAAAGACCGAAAACAATAAAAATTATCAAAACAATCGCAACTTACCACCTTCAATTACAATCGCCTCACCACTTGGTCCAAAACCACCAGCAATACTAAGTGGACGAGTTGGTTCACCTGACGAATTACGCCATCTTAACTGTGCACTGTTGAAATTAGCATTTGAATCCAATAATAAACCTGATGGTAGCCTTGGTAACATAATTGTTTTGGATGAAGTGGTATTACGATTAATTGCGGCCAAAGCGATATTTGGATGATGTTGAGGATGCGGATGAATAAAAGCATGAACACAGGAGGTAGATGTTGAAGAAGAACCTTGATATGGAATCATATTTAAACTACTATTGGAACCATGTGATGATGGTATGAATGTGCCAGGATACCGATCTTTAATTAATAACTCATTAGTCATATCTACTATAGGCGGCAATATAAATGGTGCATTTAATGTGAATGCTTCTAAAAGAGTAGGATGTAATGCTGTTTTTAGATTCCCTCCAGTGGAGCCAATTTGTGTGGTACTAGGTATATTGTTATTATCCGAAGAACTACAACTGTTGAATGATGAAAGCCGTAGATCACAACCACTCCAATCACGCTGAAACACATGATATTCAAGAAAAATAACAATGACAGATAAATTACCACCATTAGAAAAAGGTTAATAAAATATACGCCCTGCAAAAAAAATATATATATGATCTAGAGAAAAAGTCATCCATTCAAAAACACATAAGAGACTCAATTACAGATAACCAAAGGTCTTGATTTATACACCTTCATATATAAGTTTTTGTATTAAACTAATTAATTGTCGCATTGAGAACAAAGAATCAAGTTAGATAACAAATCTATACAGGTAAATAAAATCAGAACTAACATGAAAATAACGAATTTCAAAAAGTAAATAAATGAAAACAAATATTGAATCTGGATTGAGATTGATATGAATTGTACAAAATTTACAAGTTGAACAAAATAATATACACAAGATTAAACAAATTATTGCGATAATACGGACACCACTACTATGTTCAAATAATCGTTCCTCATAATTTTTATATGACTGTAAAAGTTTATTTGTAAAGTTGAAAAGCAACTTCAAATCGACAAGTAGATAGGAGTAGTTAGTAAAGAGATCCTGGCAACCAAGATAAGTATATTTTTAATATTCAAAAATGTACCAAATACATATGAACACCAATGGTAAATGTCTAAGACACAGATGACATTCGGAACTAGAAATAATGAAAATATAGACTTGACTAAAATGGTTACACTGTACTATAACGCAAGAAATTGATCATCACAGTAAATGAAATGCACAGGTGTATTGCATATGCAGACTGATATGTGGTAGGGAAAGTAAAACATGATTGGTCGTTGAGCGTGGACAAAATAGAAACGGTTAACTGACTATTAAATATGTGATTTTCTTTCATTGATTTCTGATCTGGACTGAGTGTGACTACTTGTACTTGTACTGAATAATTTGGTTCTCTATTATGGATCGTAAATCATGGTTCTGATATAAAGTGATTAGTCTCATTATCGTAATACGCGTGAGAGTAAAAAATATTTTAAGCATCTGTTACATCACAAACAATATGAAGAAAAGAAATCGCAATTATAAAGGAGACATGTATTGATGACTATAAGACAAACACTAGAATTTCAGCCCGTAAATAGCTATTCCTCGTGCAAGTACTTCACGTGATAAGAAACTAGATCATCTTTAAAAAATCACTTGAAATAAATCAGATCCATAGTGATACAAAATCAAATGTGAATAACATGGATTAAAAGTTCCTTGGAAAGACCATAATCTATAGAAGAGCAAATCAGACTAAAGATAATAGGTCTTGGATTTTAGCGCCACATTCATCAATTCATTTGGTTAAATAGCATTTTGGCATTATAGCTGATGTCAGTTCGTGATGAAAACCCCAACTGTAATTCCTAACCCTAACTTCCACCAGTTGATCCCGATCCTAATTCCTCACACAAATTTATAACCCTCAATTAGCCTTAGTAAGTAGGTGGACATTCTCAGAGTCATTTAAGCATTACTAGGTCATAAATAAATAATACCCTCACTATAATGTTTGATATTTTAGCATATCTGTAAGTAGTAGTAGTAATAGTAAGGTAGGTAATTATAGTCATCATTTGAATTCGATTAATTTCAAAATGATAATATAATATTTAGAAACTGTTAACCTACAGTAATATACGAAATAGGTGGGATAAAAGGTATATTCAAAGAATAACTTACAAAACCGGAGTTAAATCCCCCTATTTCTTGGCACCATTGTTATTTTTAAAGTGCAAATAACTGTATACATTTCTTCAATGCGATTATAAAATGAAATGGAAGGTTATAACAGTAACTATGTATTAATTCCTGGCATTGATTAACCGACTTCATAATTTAATGTAAATAATCATCACCATCATTTAGCCACGCATTAAAACTAAAAGATCACTAGGCAAGTAGAAACACTTTGATACCTATTAGGTTTAAGATGAGAGCAGCATAAATTCATTACTTAGAGATTATGAACAATATATCATAGTTTTTAATCTTGCATTTTCATCAGTTCAAATGAGAAAGTTTATCTGATTCAAGAGAATCACATTTCAATAGCAACTAAACCTAAACATGAAATCCAATGATTTTGATCATCAGCTTTAGTATTAAAACTAGCAAAAACAAACGAATGTATAATAAGGTCAAAATGCACACATTTCAAGTTACAATACATCTTATTTTGATTTTGATATATATATATATATATATATATATATATATATATATATATATATATATATTAACGGTTCCCAGTTGTTTAAGTTATAAAAACAAATGAATAACAACAGACAGTCGTCATAAGGAGTGTTAAATTTCGAATGTCTCTAGTATTTAAAATATACGACTAACAAATAAAGCAATCGCTAATGAAAAATAACTATAAGTATTATTAAAAGAACCGCTGACTAGCTTGACTCTCATTGGTCAGCATAATATTTTGTTTTTTCTATTAATTATGATTCTAATGACCTTGAGTAGGCTGCTGAATAAACATATATCTACATACATATGTGAATGGTACAACCTTCAATGTAAAGTTGTCATCTCATCAATCATAACTGACCTACATGACACTGCTACTGATTAATATGGTAGGTTGAGTATATTCTATGTGACCACCATGTGACCTATTATCAGAACTATAGCTCTTAATAATCGATCTGAAAAGAAGTGTACACATTGCATAAATATATGTTCTGAAAAACAGCATGAACCTCTAATAAATTGTGATTTATTCTTACCAGAAATTTTTTTATTATAAAAAAATAAAGTGGATTATCTGGTAATGAATTTGATTATCAATATGTAAAACGTCAACTGTTTAATTAAGTAATAACACAATGATTCAAAAAAACATCAGAGATCAAACACCTGCAATTATCACAGGTAACACAGTTTCAACATTTTCAAGTTATATATATTGAACGAATGAAATTAATAATGATCATGAAATGTAAGAGAGTACTAATATCACTTGTTTTATATATACATTTTACTTTCGATAATAAAAAAGGATTTACGATGTGACATGGTCATATTTTAACTAGCTAGAAAGGCAGCTATTTTGATATGTGATATTTGAATTTCGACAAAAAGAAAATGATTACTATAATGTTATAATTAATAATCATAGACTATACATCTATTCACAAATCAGCATGATATTAATGTTTTATCAGACTATTTCAAACAAATAGACAATATGCAAGCAGAGTACGACCTGAAGTAACAATAACAATATTGATGAAAAATGTTACAAGTTATAAAGGCATAGAAAGATATAAAAACCAGTAAGAGAGGAAACATAAATGAAGAAAAAAGTGAAATAAATAATATAGAAATCAGAAAAAAGATATAGAATGAAACAATTTAAGACCTGAATATACAAATAATTAGATTCAATTAGCAATAATCCAACAGACATTGAAGATATTTTGAAAACTTACAGAGACTTTTATAGCAACAGTTTTATATCTGATAGGTTAACCGTTAGTTAAAACTCATCCATAATTTGATTTTTTTTCGAATATTAATTATTTAAAAATAAAATGTAGGAACCTTTGAGTTACTGCTTTTTAAAGAGATATACTTATCACTAAGGTGTCTCTAGTATCTTTACTTATTCTATTTCAAAAAATTGCAACACTAGTGCAAGTATGATTGCCAAGTTTCGAGTTGATAATTCCAAATGAAATGAGCATTGGGTAGATTGTTAATAAAAAAAATAATGATATATTTATAATATCCTAATGAGTAGAAAAATTAAAATTTTCTGTCGTTTCGTAACTCATTGTAAGCCACTTTCTTCAAAGAATAAATAAATAAGCAAATTAAACTAAACCAAGCTTTTTAGAGCATTGATGGTTTCATTAACGGGAAAGCTTTTTAATTAAGCTTATAACAGAAAATACAAGTCATTAATTTATGTTAAGGTGTATGATAAATCAGCTAGTACTTAGTTACTACCTATTATAAGTGGTTCACTTAATTCATTTATCTCCTTAGTTTACAATCAATAACACATTCTTATTTAGTATAGTATGCAACAAATCAACATTTAACTTTATTCATTCTAGAGAATCATAACTAAATGCCCATCAGAAGGTTTATACGCCTTTTGGTAAACTTTTCAGTAAGAAACACTATCATAATAGCAATATTACTAGTCAATGTAGTGAAAGAGATTCAAGGAAATATTTAGCTGTAAATAAACTGAGTAATTAACTAAGTAACTCCATTTTAAACCTAAAAACAGAAGATGGTGACTTACTACATTTAAAAACAGCACAACTAATGGGAGGTTGTGAAAAAAAGAGTAATGTGAAAACTGAGTATTCTTTGGTGAATTGGTTTGAGAATTTTCTGATCAAGTAATCATTAAAACAATTGTTTTGCAATCTTTTTTAAAAAATTAGTTTACAGTATAACTTGTCTTTTGGTTGATTAATTTTGCCATTTTTACTATTCATCAGCTACAATTAATTAACTATAAATTTACGACTCAAGCTTTGTATCAGAAATACTCAAGTTATGTACTTCTCATTATTTTTGAATTGTGATACTTTGTGAACTTGTGTGTTATTAATAAAACTACATAAATGTACTGTAAATCATTCATTAAGGTCTCTAGTGTTTTGAACGGTTTAAGAATGACAGAATTCCTGTGGCCTAGAGGCCATGTGTGACGAACGAAATACGTTTATAGATTTATCGCTAGAGGCGAAGAAAAGATACAGCAGAAACTTAGCAGGTAGAAAAACCAATATTTTGAATAAGAAAGAAACATAAAGAAGAATGTAAAGGAAAAAGATTTTCCACTGTTGAGAGTTGAGTAAGTAATAAATTTATATGCTCCCTCTTAGCAGTCACCAACAGCTCTTCGTAAAAATTAAATTACGCAACTACTAATAGCCACCATATTTAACTCAGAGTTTCTTACACAACTACTTGATAAATAGTCGACAATGTCTAATTTACAATCAAATAAAAGTACGCATGTTTACGGTGAAAAGATAACACTGTGAGTGTACAAACGGTCATTAATCAAATTTATGTAAAACTTAGTCTCCATTCATTGCAGTAGGTTAATCTGAGTTATTCCTGATTCATTGGAATTTTATCACAGTTAATAGTATGAATGTATGTGGTTTACTTGAAACGTATAATTTGTATTTATCCTATTAAAACATAACATTTTACATTTCAAACAAAGGCTTGAATAACTCGCTTTTTAGTACGAAGACTGAATTTATGTTGTGATGAAATTTTTCAATCTCATCAAATGCAGTTAATTTTTTACATTAAATGAACAAATAAGCATAATTTTGGAAAGATAACAACTGCTTACTTGTTTTGAATAAGTGTGAAAAGTAAACTGTGGACCCATCCAAACACGACGTAAAGGTCCTAAATGTGTAGTTATTTCAACTTGACTATACCAGTAAGAAGCAACGTCTTCAGCAGTCCATCCAGCAGGAGTGACGACATTATCATCTGTATCATCTTCATCATTATCATTCTTGTTCTTATTACTATCATTATTATTATCTTCCGTGTTTGTTTTTATTTCTAACAATCCAGATTTCACTTGACTGCTATTAGCTGGAGGTAAACTGGATTTCAACGTTGATATAACTTTTTCGTAATTTGTAGATCTGGACGACAGATTGTTATCAGATTCTAATGAAATTTCAGTTCGACCATCCACTATAGAAATGTAATTTGAAAAAGAACAAACGTTTTGCAATGAATATCCGGATAGTAAATACATGTGTATGTAAACATACATATTCGCCGACACTACAATTAACTAATGTATAATTTAACATAGGTTTAAATGGCAAAATATAGGAAAAAGATTCCATTTGTAAATCAACTTCGATTTCATGTTTTTGGATTAGAAGAATAATCTATGAGGAATAAAAATTAACATTTGAAGCATAATAACGCCAAATACCTAATTATAAACCCAAGAGATTCAAGGATAATATCTCCTCAAAATCCTCTTCTCAAACTACTGTAACAAAGTATTAGATTTGAAAAAGTTAAAAATCTCTAAATTTACAACTGAACATAACTGTTTAATTAACATAAAGAACTGAGTATGATTAAAGAAGTTTCAGAAAACAAGCTAAACCATTAGATGATCATAAGTGCAGTGGTTTTCAGAAATATGATGTAGTTTTAAGTTAAATAGGAAAACCGGTGAAATGTAAGCAAATAAGACCTATATAGAAATAAGTACATAATGAAAAAGACCACATTTTACACTTTCAATATATAAAGTAATAATCCAATTTAAGAGATAATTATCGAAATAAAATACATATAGACCTATTAAGTGATAGCTAAGAATAAGATGGCTGAAGAAAAATGACAAGAATCTATGAAAGTAGATCTCCGCGCTAGTTGGTCGTCATTCATAAACATGATACTTTATAATCTTGAAGGAATTTATACTTCCGAACCATATGTTACCGTTAAATATCACTTTTACTGAACCAATCAGTTCATCAAGGACTTTCAGAAAAACACATAATTAGGCTAGCTGGTAGTTAATTAAGTAGTAAGAAATATCATTTTATTATTTTATATCCAGTGATGACTTAGTTCTGAGGAACACGGTAAATTATTGAAATCGTCAAAGGTGAAGAATATGTAACAAACGTTAAATTAAAAATATATTGAACATTCTAAGATTTGTTCTTATTTACGAACTCGATCAAAACATATTCACACTGCCTAAAAAGTCATGTTTGGAAACTTATCTAATAGTGTTGTTAGACAACTACTCAGTTCGTAAAGCACATATAAGATATATCTAAATTATGGATCATGCACTTTATATAGAGGTTAACAATATATAGCTTTTACAGTATATACAATCTGGAAATATTAAATATTCTACTAAATACTTTATATAAACGAGTGATAATTCAGTACACAAATAATTCACAGATCTAAGTAAGATACGATGCAGTAACCTGTTAACAATAAGAATCATTTAATCTCAATAGACAGAAATATAGCATACTAAATTGGATAAAATATTTAATATCGATTAATTTAATGAATAAATCTGCTTAAAATTTAGTATTACTCTTTAAATTAGAAGCATAGTCCGATTTAAGCCTATTTGTTTTACATCTTGCTTGAAGTGTAGACGAGGCTAAAATAAGTGGATGCTGTCTAGGAAATGGAGGCAGGTACACAGCATCTGTATGTAAATTCCATTCGCCAACAGATACACAATCTAGACGAATTGAACCATCCTACAAATAAAGGGGAAAATATTAGGACATAGTAAATAAGAACAACCTTATGCACAAAAATAAATTAAAAATTATTTGAAATGGATGCTGTTTTATGTAAATTTTAAATGAGCACGGAAACAATATGAGATTATTTCATCATGATGGAAGCCGTAACACAAGTGGAACCTCAATCACAATAAACTAAGAATCAAATAAGGTCAGTATGTGCACTTCGATTAACGAGTTTTTTTAACTAAAAACAAAAGATAACTATATTTTGATAATAGATTAAGTTTATTTGCTTTTAATCTTTACTAGTTTACAAACCAACTTCAGAATCGTAGATAATCGTGATATATTTGAAAAGGTCTCTTTTTGGGCCTATTATGAAAGAAAAATGTGTTTTCACTATGAAGCATTATAGTGTTTGGGGTAAAAGTCAATCATAGAATTCACAAGTATATAGCAACACGACACATCAGAAATAATCGAAGCCTGAAAATCGAAAAAAAAGATCTCTAATGAGAATAAAACTAGTGGTATTTTCAGATTTAACTTGCTATATGACGTAGTTTGGAAACCTGAATCTTAGTGACTAAGACAGGATTTAAGCCCCTAAGTGCACGCATTATAAGTTCATTGAGTAAATTAGCAAGTCATGATTATATATGCATACAGTTAATGCCATTTTCGGCCGAAGATAAATATATGTACAAATATGTGTTTAACTTCAAACATTAAGGAAATTTTATTACACAACATTTGCTATGTTACAACGAGCCTAATTGACCTAACAGTGAATCGTACTGTCTATAATTTAGAAAAAAAATTAGGATTAGAAATACAATACAACGATCCCATGCATGGTTATGAATTGGGATTAATGAAGTAAGTTAGCTCATCAAATGGAAGTAGTTAGGAAAATGCTTGAACTTTTAATCCGATTACTGGAACAAAGATCCAAAAGAATCATTTAAAGCATATCTGTTTTTAAGAATTCAAAGACTGATTGAAATAATGTACTGATAGTGGAAGAACTACATAGCAACAAAGACATTTTTAATGGACTTAGCCACTTGAAGGAACGGAGTAAATTAAGCTTCAACAGATGATTTCTTTATCAAATTATTGTTTAACTTCAGACATCAAATCGAAAGTTTATTTACAAACAGATAAATATACCGAAATATATTTAAGAAGTGAATAATTAGTTCAGGGTGAATAATTTACATTGAAAATAAAATCAGACAGAAGAAAAAGACATTTCGATAAGAATTAACTAATATTAAATATCCTATTAAAAGTAGTAAATAAATAGGCTGTTACGTTACTCTATCAACTCCTAGTTACGATTATCAGATTGCCTTAATCTCATGCTCATGTTATTCCTGATTGTTATCAATGGCTCTTGTTATTAAATGTATGTGCATTCTACGTGCTCACTGGGCCGTTAGAGAACTTTTTCTATAATTTTTTTCTCTTTCAGATAACCTCACATATCTTCAGGCTAAACGCAAACCTACGAAAAAATGAACGTAACAGTTAAATGAATAAATAAGATTTTTATACCTGATATAATTTCCCACCGACTGTAGCTGTATCATCTGCACTAACACATAAATCGTATTCTATTAAGCGAAGATCGGCTGTCAAAATAAATAATGCATCTACAGCACGAGACTTTCCGACTACAAAGAAAGAAAATTATTGGATACAGTGTGTTTATAAAGGAATAAATATATCTAGGAGAAAAAAAGCTCAATGAACTTGAGCTGATGAATCCTTAAAAGTGATTTTAAGATTACTTTACATGTTTTTTGTATTGAGGAGATTTTTGACGAAATAACAGGTTTATGATGATTTAATGGGGTTATATATGGAAGAGCCACAAAATAACAAGTTTGTGTAGTACATAACATAGATGTTATGCTTATAGAAGAGGAACCTTTCGAAAACCAACTAAGAATGTGTAAAGGCTTCTGTAAGGTAAAGCAAATAGTCAAGAAAGCAAGTGAATCTATCACAGTGAATATGGAGTACAGTTCACTGAAATCAAATAACAAAAAGAAAACATAACAGAACATATTAAGAATGTCAGATAGATGTGGTAAGAAATAATTCTTTGATGAATTACTTTGGATATTTATTTATAGGCTTATCAGTCGTAATCGTAAACATCAATAAGATTCAAACAACCAATATAAGTGAATTAAAACTTCACCTCACTGTTCAAACCAATGGTTATCTGGACTCAGTAGCTAAGTTGATAATGAGATTAAATTTGAAGCGGACGTCATTAGGCTCTAGTGCTGGATTGAACATCAATAGGATAAAACGCATATCCTATATCCCACGGCTAACCACTATCCATCTATGTTTATAATGCTTATGAATTAAGGTAATACCGATACAATCCACACAGAGTGAAGATATACCAATAAGAGACTGACTAATTGCAGTCCGAAATATCAATGGGAAAGCCCAAACAAACAAAAATATTTCTTAGGGGATCATCATATAGTCCTAAGTCAACTACATCCTTCATAGTTCGTCAATTACAAACAAAAATCTATTACTCGGCGTTGTAACTACGATTGGTGACCTAGTATTTTACTTATAAAGTGGCATGGACTAAAAAGGTACGTGTGATCAAACATCAAGCTTTCTAGTGTTTTATGTGACATATCGATCATACAGGAATGGGATTGACTGATTTACTGATAACAGTGTACTCAAGACCACAAAAAGCACCAAAGCCAGATTTGTCTACCTTCTTAGTTCTCTAACTTACGCAATTAGTGTTCGACAAATACTTTCTTCATGCCACCTCAAATTATATATGCCTGTTTAAGTGTATGTGCTAAAGCGGATAAATCGGTGATAAAGCAAGAAAGGTCACTCGAGACGCTTTAAGGAGATATTGTAATGGAAACTTTCTGTCAGAGATGCAATTGCAAAGTATTAAATTGGATGAAGACACCAAAAAACATATGGCTTTAAAGCTGTCAAGACAAATAGTCAAGTTCATTTGATTTGCAAAATCAATTGCTTTTAAGTTGTATGCCAATTATCTACCTAGTGGTTTAACCACATGAGATACCAATATCCTTTTTACGATACTCATAACTATATTTTTGATTACTACAGAATAGCTATAATTTGATTAGGCTTTGTAGTCAACTGGGACAAAACCGTATAAAACCTTTACTATTTTACTTAGCTACTTACATACCTTTTCAGTAATAAAACTTGAAATCCTTCAAAGAATTGATAAGGACATCGGTTATCAATCGAGGTTGTGAATTTGCTATTAATAAAACTAATTTAGTATTTCCATAAATTTTAATTTGTTAGAAACAAGTTTCATCCTTAAGCATCAATCCCAACACTTGTACTACACAGACCTATTATGCATTTAAACACGACTCTGCGCCAATTTACACTATTTACAAACATTTAACAATAGTTTAGTATGTCTAAATAAAATTAGAACTTAATATTCAACAATTCGTCCGAAAAGACATTGTAATAAAGACGTTTTACTTCTCCGTGAGTAAATAACAACTATGTCCTCCACAATGAATATCTCTGAGATAAATTTACTGAAGATCCAGCGAGAACTAATGATCTCTAGTTACTAATTTATTAATAAGACAGTAACTCAACTATAACATTGCATTAGGATTATGTAACGACATTGTAAACTGATATAAGCAACTAAAAACCGACCAAAGGTATCATACTCAAAAGGTTAAAGATTTAATTTCTTATAATGCAATAGTCATAGACTGTTGAGTAATTTCGAGTGAGGATGATATACAAAAGACTTGTGACAAAAAACCATAACTTCATAATGTCAATAATTATGTAGTAGTGCTTAACTAGTTAGATTAACAGCCAGTAATCAATATTTTCTTTTTACAACCCTTGACTCCCTTTTTCTAGTACTTGACAGCTTATTTACATCCTACTAGTACATGTGATCCAAAGGGCAATTCGAAGCCCTGAAGTATCTACTTTAGTACTTTTAATTCTTCTTTTAAATGACAATTGCTATTATGGTGATGTAGAATACAAAACTACAAACTGACATTAATAATCACTAAGTACTGAAATACGTCTAAAGGATCATAAAGCAAGTAATCATCTCCTTTAATCTGATTTAGAGTGTTTATATTCAAGTGAAATTACCAGTGTTTAATTTAGATCTTCCCACGAATTGAGTACGTGCTCAAAACCTTTCAGTGCATAGGATATTAAAAGTAGCATATTTTACACATTACATCACTTATACTGTTTTAGGTACCACCGAATACATTTAACAAAACATATACTTTCATTTGCTAGGAAAGTGAAAAAATATATGCACACTAAAGAACGCAATATAATGAAAATAACTAATTTACACAAAGAAATCCTATGAGCATGTTAACGTATAAAAGGTTCTAGTGAATTACCATACGGGTCACTACGATAGTCTGAAGATACATTATTTAGACGAAGTTGATTTGGAAGGAAACATACAGGAGGTCCAAAACGTGCAGCTCTAACACTATTACTTGTTGGACTAGATATATCTTGATTCAAATTTTGAAGTGATTGCCCACTTCTGTGACGCCGAGTATGCTTGCGTGAATGAAAAGAAGAACGAGATGCTGCACTAATTGGCAACTGTGTATATGTGCAAACTTCAGGGCAGTGAACATGATTAGGATCAGAATAGCATGATTTAACAGATGATAAGTGACGATTAACTATTACCGCATTTATATTTTTCATAGGTGTTACGGCTTCAAAAGCACTACTGGCGGCGCCTCGAGCAATAGATGTCACACTGCTACCACTAGATGGTTTCAATCTTGCTTCAGCTTTAACTCGACAAGGTTCTGGATAGGGAGGCAACCGAGAATTAGTAGTGTTATACAACGCGTTCGGTGGACAAGCACATAATCCTTCACTATTTAGAAACAACATAGTAGGCTGTTCAGAAACATGAAGATGACTACTGGATGATTCTGAAGAAAATGGATTTGAATGCGTGAAAAAGTGTGATGCATCAGACAATGCTGAATCACCAGAGAGAATCGACGAAGAATTTGAACTCCCCTCATCTAAACAAGGAAAAAGTTTAAATTTGGGTACATTTAAGAGATACATAGCATGGAGAATAGTTTTAGAGAGAGGTAATCACTGGTAATCCATAAAATATAGTCTAGAACAAATGACATTAGACAAAATGCATCCACTATTATTTCAGTAGAAGAGAAAATACAGTTTATTTTTTCAATACCGCAGAATAGTATCAAGTAAAATGTAAGGATGAATTGGTAAGTCTTATCATCAAACCTATATATATATATATATATATATATATATAGGTATTTTATTTAATTTTGTCAATCTTTTGAAAATACAAAAGCACTAGATACAAAAGTTTCAATGAAAAAGAATAAATTAATTATGACCCTTAACCCACCTGCATCAACGAAAAAATACAAACTGTGATAGAGCTTAATATACTTATTTACGAGTAACGTCATAAACTTATTACTAACAACAGCTTTAGAAAACATATGATTCGACATAAAAAAATAATTCTCCCTTTTGAATCCGTATAAAACTTACAGACAGTATAGCATAGATATAACTTTGAAACAAATAAGTCTGCAGTACTGTCGTATTCCATATATAATAACGGTTAAGGTTCATCGATTTTACTTGTAGCTACCCGTTGATAAAACACAACCTAGTAAATTAGGTAATTTGTTCGTAAGCAGCTGACGAGAAACCATGAAATATAATGAATTCATATCATTCTGCATCAATATTTGTTCTGGCTTATTTTTAATTTATAAAGGGAACTAATTGCATGAAGTTAGGTGATGATTGTGAAAGAAGTTAATTGAATAGAATTCTAAATCATATCTTATAATTCATTGAGAACGTGAACCTATCCAAGTTAGACTATCATTGAAAACCTGGAAACATTGGGAAGCCTTTTTGTTCTAGTATAGGACTCTTCAGAAGTGTGCATCCACGACCCGACACATGGAAATCGAGCTGAGTTTCAGTCTCACACGCGAACACTACCTCTGAACCACTGAGCCGGTATCCAACATTGTTAATGTCTTATTTCAATCAATCTGCTACATGTCACGACCATCTTCCATTGTTTCCAGTGGGCAACTGCCTCACACTCAACGCAGTTTAGCTCCATCAGTCATGGCTTCTCGAGTTCGCGCGCGAGACCAGAGGTTTTGGGCTCGACTCACTCGTGTGAAGTCTTAGATCCCCACTGCTGAAAAGTCTCCCAGTTAAACGAAACGGCCGTCCGGTGCTTCCAGGTTTTCGATGGTGGTCTTACATCGGTTCATGAATTCAATCAAATTTACATATCTCTACAAACCTATACTGTCATATCTTATGATTGCACACTAAGTTATTTGTATCAAATGAAAACAGATGGTCCAATGAAATCACTTTTCAATCATACTTTTAGTTCTGTAGTTATAAAACATCATGCATAGAGGACTATTTGAACACATGAAAATATGATACGGGATATACTCTTTACATGGATATGATATTCTGCATAAAGCAATGAGTGTGAAGTTTCCTTAGAAATTATTAAGGCACTGGACGTAAGTGTCACTGACTAACTGATCAGTCCCGGATACATTCCTTTGTAAATGACTTGCTTTATAAACTTTGTTATCTTCATGTGGATCCTCATTTCTAATCACATAAACAACTGACCCTGATATGATAGGGAAAATCAATATTAATTGGAGTACGACTGACATACACAACTGATTTCATCTAGTTTCGTATGTCATTTAGCCATAATATAAGAGTCAATTACATAACTTAGCAAGATAGTTACATCTACTGGCAATAATAGTTCAATCTTACGATACAGTAAATTGTGCTTATAAATTTAGTTACCGATTAATTAGTGTCCAGTGCTACTCTGACTATTAGTGTAAATAAAACGTAAAAAGGTTGTTGTATTCATATTTGCTTTTGATCGTCATTACGTTGTGTGATTCAGTTTCATTTGGCAAGTACCAACTTTCCGCGGATATATCAGACCTCTATCTTAAAGACTGATACGTTGAATCTATGTCAACATATATACTGATAGCAGATTGAAGTGAAAGACAGAATTCTAGGAATTCACCCTAATCCACAAACTGAATCTTTATTATAGAAGTTCTGTCCTTTGGTTGTCAACAGACCTTTACGGATGTGTATGCAAATGTTTAACGTGTACTTATTTCAAAGTAATGTAATATTCAACTTACCTTTGTTCGGTCACTTATTGTTTCGATTTGCATGACATAAGATGAAGCGATTATACTGATTTATGAACAATAATAAATCTAAAAAGTTTAGAAATCCTACTGCTAATTTCAAGATTTTTCTGCATGATACAATAATGATTCACCTTTCGAGTTCTTAGAATTATTTCGTGATGGTAGATCGATCTGATAGATATATGTTCATGACGTTGTGAAGGTGGTCATTATTCTGGAAAACAGATAAGGGATAGTTTATTGCACTTCCCCATAAGCTGCAATTGATATGTCAAGTTACAGATCTCTTAAATTGTGCTTGTATACAACTGCTCTTTTATGGTGCCATGCTGTTACTGTTGTAATGAAGTCAAGGATTCAAGAAGGTTTAGCTCTTTTATTTATATTTTTCTTCTCGACTGAAACAACAGAAAACTAGATTCATAGTTAATGAGGACGCTGTTGATAAGCTAATTACTCGCTACACCATATACCTAAAATCGTCGGTCTGATTATTGGAAAAATTGTAGATTTTCGTTTGTACAAAAATACCTCTAGCAATTAACCTAGAATAGGCTATTGTCTATGTGACAACTGAAGTGGATACATATCAACTTGTTATGAATTTACTAGCTTTAACTAAATTTTAATACTGTGTATGTTCTGGAAGTAACTTATCATTGCTAAACAGATGAAATAGTGACTTTGATATGTTTCAATCCTATTGAATCAAAAAGAACCACGCCAATGAAGAATATCACTATTTCGATATCGTAAGCAACTCCACCTGTAGCTCTTCTAGAGCTACTGCCGGTCCCAAGCCCGGGTAAAAGAAGAGGGTTGGGCATGGGGTCAGCAACCCCATCTCGTACAAAACAACCTTGCTAAAAAACCGCTAATCAGAATAAACAAATTAAACCATTTAAACTCTTCCCCCGGAGTTGAAGGAAGAATTATGACGCCTCATGATTAAAGCTGAGATTCTTCAGAAGTCAAGAGGCCGATGCCCCTTCTAAAAACCAGGATTGCTCAGGATATAGTTCGATGGGGAATGCTGGTGAGCGGCCTATGCTTCTCCATGAGGGGTAACAGGAGTAAGTAAGTAATATCGCATGGATACACGTTTTTGGTCATTTTTTAAAAAGTGTTGAAGTAATAGTGATTGCAGGATTTAGTTTTACAAACTATTTTTCTGTATATTTCACTAGATAACCTTTATGCTGGCTTCCCCAAGAATTATAAAACTGATCAAAAGGAGAAATCTGACAACACCAACAAAAGATCCTACTGCTGAGATATTCAGGTCGTGAATGATCCCTTGTAAAACTGGATTAAAAACACTGCTCTGTCACTGAATAGTAATCAGTAGTAAAAGGTTCCAGAGCTGACAGAATTCCATCAATCACATTTGTAACGTTATCCAATGAGGCTCAATGATTTGTTGATCTTAATTATCTGTAAAATATTAGACAATTCATTAATTAACAGGACTGTATATTTTACTGAACTCTGAATAACAAAGATAAAAGATAAGTAAATAATTCCAAATATAAATTCCAAAAATACTAATGATTTCAAGATTTCAATAAAGTATTTGAACGATTTCAAAACCATATGGTTAACTATTCAGATATGAATACCTTCTTTTTTCAACGTGATTTTATCCATCTTAAGAGCAACTATACAAATAAATAAATTATAAAGGAAAAAATCGAAAAGCTGCCTATGTAGGGAAATATGACGCTAAACTTAACAAATTAATTAGGCTTAAGGCATCATATACTCAACCTCAAAAGAAATGGAGGTTAAATCAATATACTGGCGAGGTTGAAGAGGTAAAAGTGGACAGACATTTACATACTTTAAACTGTGAAATTTTTCATAAAATCATCCATAGAAAAATGCAGTGAAAGGTTGTTTATAAAAATGGTCATATATAACTTACTAATACAACAGTCAGTAGTTTCCTTGAGAGGAGTCATGAAAGCTGTGAATCCTAGATGAGGGCATTGAGGTGCAAAACCTGCAATTGGTGCAGTTTGACAAAAATTCGAAGTTGCTCTAGACGCACCAGATGCGGAACCAGACGACTGACTACGGATAGTATAAGGATGTTTCATAGAACTAGACTGGGGAATGTGGCACGGAATATTGATAGAATTGCTAGAGGAGTTACCGCCAAATCCAGTTGACTCAGTTGCACTTCTCTCAGGTTGTGGTCTAGTTAGATGATACTCTTCTAAACCAGATGATCTATGATATCTCGAAGTACGATTCACGACGTGAGGTCGAGTGTGTGTACGAACAGTGATCGGACCTCCATAAGCAGTAACAGGGAAAACATGTGTAGTCCCATGATTGCTGCTCACAGCTACCCACCGAGAATCATGAGAGAAAGTAGCATCCACAATCTAAATATGTAGGAATCAAATGAAATAATAAATTTATTGAGTAAATGTATTACTCTGGAATTTTTTTCTACGCAACATAAATGCTAGTAGTGCTAGTGCAAAAAAGTATGCATATTACAATATTTCTATGATAGAAGATGAATTCTTATATCTAACAGACACGCACGCACTAGACAATATTTAAGAGGTACTTTAGCTAAGTGTAAAAATATCAAATTGGAAATACTTTATGTATAATAAAATTCTGCAACAAGACGCTCTATGTTGTGACAGTATAAACTTAAACATATTTATTTAAAAGCTAAGTTCCGAAGTCAACCTACCATCAGTTCGTATCGCAAAATAATTGTTTAGAGAGCCAACAGGAAAAAGCCTAAATGTCTAGGTTTTCAGTAAGATGATAATAACATGAAGTTAATGTAAAATGTTTAATGCAAGGATCTAATCGAAAACAAAATTGTTCTAAATTTACAATGTGGGAATATTTTAAATATGCAAGAAAGTTCGAAATGGTGTATGATAACATGCCTACTACATCTGAATTCGAAGAAAGATGACTAAATAAATTTTCACTGAAATAAAAGTTTTTTCATAGTGTAGAGAAGATAGGACACTCAGTTTATTTGAGGAAATGGTTTTAAAAAAACCGATGTTCAGTACATGAACAACAAAAACAATGATACTGAAGTGCATTGTCTATTGATACTATCGTATAATTAGATTACAACAATGGATAACGACTTCTACAGGAAGGTACAATGACAAAAATATAATATAACATGAATGGTATAAGCTATAATTAGTAGAATAAATAGAAAAATATATTTTGGTAAAGCACGTAAAAAAACTTAGTGGTTTATTACAAAGAAAAAAGTATCACCTTTTAGTGGCCCACTAATCTGACTCCAATTCGTTATATATTATGAACATATTTAACTCCGTGTATTACGTAGGTTAACCCCGTTTGTGCGATGGTGGTAATAAGAGGCCAACTGCGGGTTGGGTTGGATAAATTTATTTCAAGCGCTCGTTTATCTCAACAGACATTCAGAATGAAAAGTAGGAAATCAAAGAGAAGGGGAGGAGGCGAACCCATTTGATAAAACGTGACTTATTATTTGTAACCAGATAAAAATGAGCTGTAGACATGTGATGAATGGGATAAGTGATACACACACAAACGCTCATATAAAACAGAATAACTAACATGGTCAAAATACGGCTCAAGAAGAATGATAAACTGGTTTGTCCGGAAGCTAAAATAATTCATGTGGGCTTGGGGTAAGGCTTAGCACTACAACCTACTTCTAATTTCGTCATTAAATTAAAGTTTTATCATTCTAGAAATGTAAAGTATGTAGAAATACGGATAAACTAACATAATAAATAAGTAAACAATCTTATTTCAGCCTAGTCGATTCTTCTTGAAATTACAGACCTTAATACTAACAAGTCGATTAGACCGATCATATTAATAGACCTTACAGTATATGCAGTTCGATCAAAAAACTATCGCCCACTGCATAAGCATAGAGGTTGGATGTAACTCGAACATTCTGAAATAAGACGAAGAATATGAAGAGAAAAACTGTTATTACTGCTGTATAATGATAGAAAGAAGCATAAAAGCAGAGGTTCGTGAAAAACCAGGACAAAAAATGTTGGTAAAGTGAACACAACAAGGGGAATTACGACCAGCGTACACCAAAACTACCAAACAACAAGAAATCTCATCGTAAGTAAGAAATAACTTCAGGTAAAACCATCTTTAAACGTTAGTTATTTTAAAAAATATGGTTGCAACACTAAATATCATAGGGAAATCCTATTTCGACTTAGCTTATATTAGTATTTTTCTTTATGAATCACGTAACTGTACTATGACCACTAAAATGAGTAATCATTCCTAGAGTAATCAACCAGGGATAGAAACACTTAAACCTCAGGAAGAACCTTGTATTTTCACCAGAAGAACTAACGACAAGTTCACATGGATTAGTCCAAATGCAAATTCTCATGCTCCCAAGTCCTTAGTTATAATGCTGAGCTACCGGGTCAGTTGTTAAAAGTATCACTAATTACGTCTGAGTCACAACTCATATTATTTAAGAATAAGCTCGCAAGGTAAATGTTGGGACGGCTTCGAGAAGCATGACGAAGCCTCCAGAGGCTGTAAAGAAGCTGGAGAGATTCTAACCAATCAGAATGTGACAGAGCTTTCTAGAATGCTGACGTGGCATGCTACGATTCGACGGTAGCACAACTTGCCTCCTTGTGGATCGGCTGAATCACAATGATGTTGTATTCAACGCTAATAACTATAAATAACCATGTTTTTATGTACTTTTTTATTCTTACCCAATGTTCACTTCCCCTGCTTCTTCTGTCATCTGATTTGAGAATTTGAGGTTCTACACGTTCGAGTGCCGTTAGTCGTATATCGCATTCCACCATAATCAAGTAGAGAACGTAACAGTAAATCAATCCAAAAACCTCAACAGGCACATGATCAAGACACTTCAGGCATACAGTTGAGTATTTATTTGAACACATAAATATTGGTACAAGAGGGCACCAAATACATATGTGCCAAACAAAAGAATGAGAATTTGAAGAGAAGGAAAAAAAGTAAAGAGCGTGAAAAAAACAGTAACGTACAGATTATTGTAGAGTAGTGTAATAATAATAATAATAATAATAATAATAATAATAATAATAATAATAATAATAATAATGGGGGAGACGGAAAGGTGACAACCAGAAGAAACCTTTCAGTTAAGGAAGATACAACCACTTTTATATGAAGAAAGTAAAAGAAGGTTACAGCAGGATCCCCACTGGCTTCTATTCTGAGCCCTACCTGATAACGTCTCTAGCCACTGTGTCACAGCATCTCTCGGACCCCAACCAGGGAGTCGTGAAGGACCAACAGAAGCCAGTCCTTTGTAGCTTTCTTTCATACCACGACACCATGTCATACACTGACCACCTCTCCACTTCTTCCAACCAGTCCCAGAGTCGGCAAATAATGCACGACGTGGAATTCTCTGGGACGACATTCGTAGAACATGTCCAAGCCACCGAAGTCGGTGTTTCAAGCTGGTGACACCAATTGAATTATCTTCTCTGTGCCCGAACACACGATGCCGAACCTCTGCATTACTAACATGGTGTTGCCACTGGATTTCAGCAATCTTTCGGAGACAGCGATGATCGAACACAGAGAGTCGTCCAACATCATCAACTCGGAGAGGCCAGGTTTCACAAGCATAGAGCAGAACTACTCTCACTGACGCGTTGAAGATCCGACCTTTTACAGCCAGACTAACATCACGAAGGCGCCAAAGATAGCCAAGATTAGCATAAGCCGCTCTGGCTTTCACCATACGTGCATTGATCTCATCACTCACGCCACCACCAGCACTTATGCAGCTACCCAGATACACGAACTTCTCGACTACTTCTATCTGCTCACCATCCAGGGTGAGTACAGGATTAGAATCCTGCCAGTCTTGTAGGAGTACTTTGCACTTCGAAGGTGCAAAGCACATACCATAAAGTTGAGTAACAAACATTCATACATCTATGAACGGTAAAAAGCAAAGGAATTATTCGTCTATCAAAAGATAGCTTGTAATAATAATTCATATAAAAGGATCACAAAAATGTGTTTGAAAAATACTCAGACAGTACAGACGCACATATTTATCGTTAGTTGATTCGTCCCAGCAAATTATATTTAAGAAATCATCACTACAAACACATAAGCCCAAAGAAAGTCCGACAACAATATGGTGTATTTTCTTATTTAATAAACCTCCTCATACGAACAACTTAAAATGTAAAATAAATTGTTACGACATTACATCCGAACCATTAGGAATAACCTTAACTGTATAGTGCGTTAATGACCGATTAACTCCGACGATTTCCAGAAAAGACCACTAAACAAAATACAGTATTATGGACGAATGCTACCAGAATCCAGTTACATGATAAGTGATGTCATTTAATTAGAAAACAAGAGGCATTTCTAAAGTTATTAGATCATGATCAACACAGAGCCTAGCACGAGTATGCTTTAGTATAAGCTGTTATACTACATGAGCAAAAAGAGATGAAATAAACATAATGACTAGAAAAGAATTCAGAAAAGCTGTAGTAGCACTGCTAGTAGGAAGGACCAAATATTGAGAAAATGATCGGAGAAGGGATAAAAAGGTATGTCTGAAGAAATACTGAAACAGTGTGAAATATTAGCACGTATCGTTTACTTGTCTATTTTTGAAAGCCTCCATTCAACATAAGATTTAACAATGAATGCAATTTCGATGAAAATTCTAACAGCTTAAACAGTTAAAACACATTTAGATGAATTGTGCTATATACATATGTTTACACACTAATGAAAGGTTAAACACCAAAATGAGAAACTGTGAATAAAAATGAAATTTAAGGAATTAAATTAATTTGATGAATAAAATCTTAAATAAGTATCTATGACATTTGATTTTAAAAAAAACAAGCGTGTTTACACTTGTACAAAGATCATTTACATATATCAGTCTTGCTCAACAAACGAACAATAAAATGTTGGTCATAATACACTCTAAAAATAGGTTTTGCACTTTTGTAGTTAATGACAATCAATTTTACCTAACATGGATTCTTATTATCGATTTGTTTCTAAAAGTTGTTCAAAAGAGTATATTTTTGCTAATTACTTTCTTTTTAAACTTAACTTGATGCTAACAGTCGCTACGATGAGATGAAATTTTAAATATTCTATCTGCAACTAAACATTTTTAATGGATGTTTATAATAGCGTGACGATTATTTAAACGATTTGAAGTACTTGTCGAGCTACATTTACGCTGGATTGAAAAATTATGTACACTTTCTAAGCTGAAATGAAGTCAATTACTATGATGCCTATTTATTACTTCTTAAAAATGGAAATTAAGAAATTACAACACGATAATCGTTGGTGTTAGACTTTT